TAATAAAACCCTTGTGCAAACCACGCACAGTGGTACACTAGTTAAAACCTCGTTTCATTCCATGACGCTGTGCTGCCCTTTCCTAGCCCAGCACAGCTAAGTGTAACTGTGGATTTGAGCAGTAAGAATCCGATGCCATAGTTTTGGTTCAGATGACTCATGAAATATCATGATGACGGCTCCTGCATATCAGAAATGCTGATGTAGTAACATTAGCCATTAGTTACTCTCCCAGCCACAATCCACATGGTTTGTTTCTCGTTAATTTCTTGTTAATCCAAGTGTCTGCCCTTGCCATTGGTGCATATATAATAGTCACATCTTTCTCCATGTCTCATCTTAGAAGTGGTGAATGTTAATTTCTTTCTGAAGTAAAATATTTCTAACAAGGTTTTTTTTTAGAATTCATTCAGATTATCTCCAGGCATTAAGGTAAGTAAATCAACAATTGCCAGATAGGACTGACTTCAACTGGAAGTGATATCACTTTGGTATAGCTTTCAGAACCTGAGTACGTAATGATAATAAAAGGTTTTGATTAAGCTTGTGTCAAGACATCAATTTCCTTTGGCCCTCTTGCTTTATAAAGACTGTAATGAAACTTACAAAAACTCAGCAATTTTGTACGCAAAAATATATGCTCTTAGTGAAGCATTCTCCATGAGTATGTACATTGCTGTAAGCTGCTACATACTTTGGTAAAGGAATATATATATTAATACACTAAATTATTTGGAGAGGTTGGTGCCATTTTCCCAGAAAAATAAATTGGAAAACAAACATTATTTGAATAGAGAATTAATGAAAATGTAACTTTAAAGTAAAACCAGTGAATTGATTTTTCTTATTGGCAGTTTGAAGAAAGATATTTATTTACTCTCATTCTTTACCAGATTGTCCCCCCTGGGACCTGGAGTCTAAGTAAACAATCATGATAGTGTGCAACTGATTTCTGCCTGAGCAGCCAGCTGAAATTTCAGCAGTATTTGGCTATGATGATATATTGATCAAGTCTCTTTCAGTGATCTAAAACTCTAGATAGTTCATATATTTCTGCCTGCAAAATACTTTTCCTTAGATACTATGGGAGTACTTCATCCATAGAATTACTGTTTTTCATATTAATGAGTTATAAATGAGAGCTTAATTACTGCTAATTGCTTGAAAATCCACTGTTGGTGATTATAATCACTAACGATTAGATTGTTAAGCATTCATCTTTGTCTATCTTTAGCAAACTTAATGAGCAATTATGGATCAGATCCTCAGCTGTACCAGTGCAAATGAACCTCTACCAGCTGTGAGCACAGCCATGTCACCATTAGCGTTATCCCCTGGCATGGATATGGTGCCTGTTGTGTCTGGCCACCACAGTGTTGTACACAGGATGAGATGTGCAGGAAATATATTGCATTCTTGTAATCCTCGTCCCAAAAAAGTTGTCTCCAGGGACTATTTCTTTGGATTTAACTCAAAGCTCTTTGGTCTAAATCTTCTACTACAGTCTGTGTAGCATAACAACACCTCATCTTCCTAGTTTTGATATCAGGAGAATGAGGAGGTGAGCTGATTCCTTGAAGCTGCCTAATAACTTGTAGTTACAAATAGAATGTGAGGTTGTGCACAGATTTATCTACCTCTATATAATTTCATTTGACAGAAATAATAATTTTTAGGCTTCTGCTGGGTATTTAAAATGTGCTCAAACAGCTTTATTAGGAACTTGGTCATGTCTGTGCAGCTGCTACAGCCACTTCCATTAGAAAAGCCTGCAGCAGAGTAGGCGTGCTTCAGCCAGACCAAAGTTATTTGGTCCAACATACTTCTCTCCTTCATACATTCATTAAGAATGTATTTAAATTATTCATTTTTAAAAATAACACACATGTAAATCTATACTACGTGGAATAGCAGGTTTCCATCTGGGGAGAAATTAAGGAGTCTGCTTTTACTAGTGTATTACCCTTCTCATTGCAGCATTGCACTTACAAGATAGCTCTGATGCTGTTTAAAACAGTTGAAGATTATCATTTCAGGGGTATTTCTGGCAAGACTTCTACAAATTCTGATGGCAACTAACCAATATCTATTTCATTTTTGTGATACTTGTTCATATGAATGAAAGAAACTTCAGTCAAATAAACCTTTCTGCTCTAACAAACAACGTTCTTAAATAACTGAGAGTGTGACTCAGCATCAGTTTATTTTCTCAGTCACAATATTGAGAAAGATGTTTGAAAATTTCTTACTACTAGTGGTCATAAACTATGTCACAATTTCCATACTGACCCTTTAATTTAAGCACCTCTTCTCCTCTCTTTGATATCTGTTCTTCGTCAAAGTTCAAATCCCATCCTTCTTTAGGATGTGTCAGATATCCTTCAGCAGATTAAACTGAAATCACTTTAGAAGCTATTGTAGATACCTTTTCTCTTTCATTATTTAAGCTTTGTTTCTGTACCTTGGTGTGTACAGTGAATCACTTGAGATTCCTTCATCCACCTCAAACAAAAATCACCCAGTTAATATTTTAAATAGTCTCTATCTGGGGATTTAAGTCAAATGGATGACTTGTAGAGGATGATAACACTGTCCTAGCAAAGCAGGGAACATATGGTTACAGTAATTCCTTATACCACTTTAACAATCCTTTCAAGTGAATGTCTTTCCAGGGCAATAATTTCTTATCTTCCTGCTCTTTATGGGAACCCTTTTCTGCACCTCTATCAGCTTGAAATGATTTTTCTGAATAGGAAGAGACTGCTAGGTAATAATCCAGACACAGTCTCAATGGCATAATGCATGTATTACTGGTAAAATATATCCTGGAAAGACTGAGAGAATGAAGAAGGAAATTCTGCACATCGTTTACACTCACAATACTCTCTATATTGTATTATACAGAGCCTACACAGAATATGTATGTGTTCTATATGCAGTTCCATGATTTACATGTTAAACAACCTAATCCTGTAATTCACATGTTCCTAAGTTCAACAAATAAGGAATCCCAGGGATTTGAATGAAATCACTGAGTATTCTATTTTCTATTCTTAATAAAAAACATTTGTTGAACCAGAACTATGGTAAGAAAACTTAATGGAAAATTAACTACTACTTGTACTGAAAATCAGGTTGATACTCAAAAAAAAAAAAAAAAAAAAATTTAATGTAAAATATCTGAGCATGAACACAATGAGAAAAGACTATCTTCTGCTGTTAGATTTAAGTTTCAAATCTCAGCTGTTTGCTTTCTCTTTTAGATGACAGCAACTCATTGTCAGAATAAGAACCGTGACATTTTATTATGAATTAAGAAAATATTTAAATCTCTACAGAAATGCATGTTCAGTGGCAACATCAGTGTAAAACGTAATCAAAAATGTACACTGAAACAAATTACACTACAGGTAACCAGCCTGGTACTAAAGCATGAATCCTATCTCTAGCAGCTGCTACTTACAAGTTTTGACCTTCTAAATGAAAAGAATAAAGTATCAAGCTTACTAAATCAAAGCAGGAATACATAGGTGCTGATGGGCCCAAAAAACTGGACAGAACTGTTCAATCATCTTCTGTAATAGTTTTTTATCTGCACATATACAAGTCCAGGATTCTATCTTACTTTTCACAAGTCACACCTGAAAAAAACAAGCATCAGAGTCCCACGATTTCAATTGACGTAGATATTCTTAATCATTTTAAACTGCTGGAGAAGGGATATATTTTTATTTACTATGTCGTGATAATAATGGTGCCACTTGGATCTATAAATAGTTACTATTGGGTATTTTGTCTGAATTCTAGATTAGAAGCTAAGTAAGACAGTAGTGATGGTCCTACTCAATTAATAACTAGAGTTGTAGAAATGAGGCTATTCAAAAGTAACTGCTTTTTTGCTTTGTGTTAATTTCAGCTGGACTTGTTCCCTGAGCTAGCTCACTGCATAACCACCCAAGTCCTAGGAAAATGAATGTAAGCAGTGATGGAACAGTGACAATGAGATTCTCCACTTTAAAGCAATAAGGATTTACAGGTGCTTTAATGACCCTGGGAGGGTCTGCAGCCTGAGCCATCAATGCCTCTAAAGCATGAACGTCTGAGCGTCCAACCTTTTGGCGTGCCTGGGCCACACTGAGTGAAGAGGAATCGTGCTGGGCTGCATATACGCAGCTCACTCCAAAAGTAATGCCTCCTATTTATTTCTGTGAAAACGACAACAGATACAAGGAATACAGTAACACTGATTGAGCAAATTCTCAGCTACATTGCACTACTTTCCCACAGTCACCACCATTAGCTATGCATTTTCACCAGCTATGAACAGGAGTCTGCGTGCTGCGCTTGTAAGAATCTGCACCAGCAGAGGTGACCACCGTTTCACAGCTATGACGGTGTCACTGCAGAGAAAAGTGCCAAGCTCTACCCCTTGGGAACTGATGTCAGAACATTTTGGAATGGCACAAAGCTGCCAGTTCGAGTGGACAACAGGAAAAGTTTCTGTACTGTGAGGGTGGTCACAGGCTTCCTACTGAGGAGGCTAATGCCCCGTGTCTGTCAGTGATTAGAAGGCACATCCAAATAGATAATGTCTTCATTAATAATCTTCAAATTCTGGCTAGTCCTGAGGAAATAGCTGGATTTGACGATCATTGAAGCTCCCTTCCAACTGAGCTCCTCCATTCCGCCCCAGTGACAGAAGGCACCGCACACAAACCGCCCTCCGCCTCCCCTTCCCGCCTTTTCCCGCGCTGCCAGGGACGCGCTGACGGCAGTGAGCGTCATGTCGCTACGGCGCATGCGTGCTGGCTCCGCGCCTGCGCACTGCACGAGGACGGGGGACAGGTCGGGCGGTGCGCATGTGCAGAAGGCGGCCGCGGGAGCCGGCTGGCCAGCGGCGGCTGGGCGGCGTGGGCGCCGGAGAGGAGCGAGGTGATGGTTGAACCGCCGCGGGGAGCGAGGTGAGGGGGGCCGGGCGGGAACGGGGGTGAGCGCTCGCCGCGGGGCGAGGACATGGCGCCGGGGAGCGCGGGGTCCCTGCCGCGTCCCGTCCCGAGCTGCCCTCCGGGGATGGGCTCCGCCTTCAGCCCCCCCAGGCGCGGCAGGCGGGGACGCCTCTGTGAGCCGCTGTCCTGTGGGGCGGGGGGAGAGCGGGGCTACGAGCCCAATTTTGGTGATCGAGTGTAGGAAGACGTGCTAGGGGTTCCTGGAATGCAGGGGTATTTGGAAGCAGTGGGCTGAGAGGCATCCTCCCCGTGTGTCAGATCCTGCCGTGCCGTCTGGCTTGAGTGGTGCCTTCTGCAACTCCACCAGGCTCACCCTGAAGGTAAGTGCAGCTCCTGCTCTGATTGCAGCCGCACTTACCGCCTCCGGCACAGTTTGGGAACGTCCTGAGTTCGAGCTTGGACTGGTGATGCCAGCATTGCCATTTAATCTGAATTAAATTTGAAAGCTTTGCACCAAATGTCCTTTTTCATGTGGGCTCTGGAATGAGACCCTGTTGAAGAACTAGATGCCTGTATATAAGTAGAGGTGCAAGTCTTTCTTTCTTTTTAAATGTGTTTGCCATAAGGTGACATGGTTGGGAAGCATCTCCATGGGCTGGCAGATAGGATACTGTCAGCACATTTAAGCTGTTCTGCATCTCAAATGGCTTCAGATGTGCACAAGGCACTGTGCTGAGACCTGGGGAGTGCAGTCACTGCAGAGCAGCAGCCCTTACATTCACACCACGTCCCTTTCAGACCTTTCCAAAACCTTCTGTCTTTGCTTATCCCCTGCTGCGCAGGCTGAATATTTTCCTTCCATCTTTGATAGTTAGTTCTAGTTCATTTGCAGTGAGAAACTTTAAGCTATTATTTTCTAAAAATCTTCATTCAATTTTGAAGATACTTAAATTGGTGCAGGAGACAAGTAGGCAGACCTTTCAGAGCTGATTTGATAGAATGGGCCAGGTCTAGTTGAATGGTTGTTGGTATCCAGAAAAAAAAATAATTGCCTAATACATACGATCATGCATTTTTTTTCTATAGCTGCATTACTTGAGTTTCTCATACTTGCAGTTATGGACTTCTGTTTTTCAGGTTGATCCAGAAGTAGTTTTTTTTGAGTAGTCCTTGTTAGGTCTGATGTGATTACTTATAAGTGTAATTTGAAACACTGAGACATTGAAAATAATGAAGGCAAAGTGTAAAAAAAAGGAAAAAAGTCTCAAATGTATGTATATATAGTGCCCAGTGACAGAACAAAGGGCAACAGGCATGAACTGAAACACAGAAAGTTCCATATGAATGTGAGGAAAAACTTCTTTACTTATGTAGTATCTTTACAGCAGTTTTAGAAGGTGCAGAACAAGAACAGAGCTGTTTTTCTGTGTTTTGTAACTAAGATGAAGCCTTTCCAGTGGATGGGCAGTCAGATCTTCAGTATTTCCTGACTTGTTGCTGTGTAAGAGTGTGATCAATGTTACAGCTTTACCTGGACCTGATTGGTCTGGTAATTGAGCTTCTACTATTTTTGATCAGTATTTCTGGACTTCATCAGATGAACTTTTTTTTCTTTTTAGTTTTGCTGCTTTAAGCCTTAGTTTGCTATGCTTTCATGTTAACATCTGAGGAGCTATTATTTTGTCATCCTTATCTTTCCTTATGCCCTGCCTGTTCCCTGTTACTTGCAGGTTCCTGACTTACTGGCTGTCCAGGGAGGTGATCATCTGTGATGAATCTGTCTCTCTCATTTTATTACCTTACTTCTTTTAAATGTGTACGAAGACAGACCAAAATATGTGTTTCTCCAGTTAGTTAAATGTGATAATTCTTTATTATAGCAATTTGCTGATATATTGCATACCTTTCCATTTTTATTTTCTATAATCAACGAAAATTATATAAAGGAATATTATATAATCAAATAATATTAAGATGTTATGATACTGAAATAAGCAAGAGAGTTAGGCACAGCGAAACAAAGAGAATAAATAGGATGCTTACCCGTGTTGTGGGCTCGCTCAGGAAAGACCAGTGGAGTGGATCTTCTGAAAAGAGAGTCAGCTCTTCAATGGGTCTAGGAGAGGTGGAGCCAGGCTCCACCCCTTCCTGCAGCACAGGTGAATTGCTTTCACCTGTGCTCCCAGGGCTGACTCATTGCTTGCCTCAGGTGATTAATCAGAGGTTCAGGCCATGACTCAGCAGTTCCCATACATATTTGAAATTTCGGAATCTGCCTTGTGTGAAAATGGCCATATAATGCCTTACATAGTAAAGCCCAATTTTGATGAGGTTCTTTCAGCCCCGCGTTGTACGTGACTGCTCCAAAAGTTCCTATTCGTTTCTGTGGAGACTGCAACAGATACAAAGAGCACAATAACACTGCTTGATAGAACAAATCCTCAGCTACAAAACGCTATTTCTTTAAAATAGTCACCACCATTAGCTATGTGTTTCTGCCAGTGATGAACAAGAGCCTGCATGCCACACTCGTAAAAATTGGCACCAGCAGAGGTGACCACTGTTTCACAGCTAGTGTGACGGCATTGTTGCTAGGAAAATGTTTTCCACGTGGTCCAGCTTCCATTGTGCTAACACCTAGACATTCAGCAAGTGTCTGAATGTCAACAGGTTCATTTTTTTTCCTTTCATTTTGAAAGGAATTCAGTGACACACTTTTGCTTCATCTGCACTTCAACATCAGATGCTGTTTTGTTAGACCGCTTCTCTTTTGCCACCTGTCACACAGCAACAAAATGTACTGGAATACCGGTGGGAATTTACTGCCATACCACAAGCATCTGCCTCTGATGTTGTGGGCCAACAAATGAAATAGGAGGAATTTCTTTTGGAGCAGCTGTCTTCATATTGTTGTCCAGAATTAGAATATCTATTTAGATGTAATAGAAATTCCTGCTTATTATTCTCCTTTACGGTATATGACAGCAAATCATAATTAAAACTTTTTATTCTCCAGATCACTTTATTTCTTGTCTCCACATCTCAGGAGGGACGTTCATGTTTAGGATCCTGACTACACGAACTTCACAATGCCTATTCTTGAACACCCAGCTTATCCACCAGCTACTCTCCTTTGCTTGGAAAGTTTGGTGCCTTGTCGAGAATCCCAAGTGTCCATGTTGCTGTCAATATTTGGAGAGGTAGTGCTTTCTGTGTTGTGTATTTGAGTGGAACAACGATGTTTTGTTATCTTGGAGTAAAAGTAGATTTTTTGTGATTTTATTATGAATGTAGTTTGGGTACATCTTGTTTCTTTAGTCAGCTATTAGTACCTTACTGTAGCCTTGTTTCTCCATGATAGTTCCTGGTATTAACTTTGTTCCAAAAATGGAACAAAGTCTGTCTTTTTCCCTGGTCTTAAGTTCCGGGGTGCTTTCTTTTTAAGTGACTGTATAGAAATTCTATTTGCAACTGTTGTATCTTTTCAAACTTGTTTTTCTCCCTAGCGTCAGCAGTTGAGTTTTCCATCCATCTTTATCTATGGACATACATCTAGTGGAAAGACCTATGTGATGAAGACTCTTCTAAACACATTACAGGTGAGTATGTTTACATTTGATTCTGAATTTAGAACTTGGAGGACTGATGAAAACGTGATCCCTCCGCTTTGTGTCTGCTTTCCCAGAGTGGTTTGTTTTCTCAGCCATTTCTGCCTTCTTGACTCTCTTCCCCCCCTCCCCGCCCAATTAGTGTGAAATAGTACATAATAATATATAACATATAGAATAATAATTTTTCTTAGAAAAGTTTAAAAGAGGAAGAAAAAGCAGCCTATTTTCTTCCACTCTCCAAAAAGGACTTAACCTGCAATAGCCTCTCAGTGACAGGGGGTTGCTTATGTAATGCAGCAAACCTTTTTGCTATCTTGTAATTCTCCTTTAAATAAAAACCCCAAACCAACAACTTATGGAAGCTACACAAATGCACTTTTGGTGATACCCGAATGTCCCAGCAATCTTTGTGGACATGTATTGCAAAGCTGTTCCTAGCCTAAAATGTTGAGGGCCAAGTCCTGGAGCAGCTGTGAGAGAAGATGAGTAACAGAAAGAAGATTTTGCCAAAGTAGAATTTTACTTTTTGTTAACAAACTAATTTCAGTTATGTTCAGTTGGGTGTGCATAATCTCTTTAATTGTAGTCCCAGAAGTTTGAACTTATTGTGCAGTCATTAGCATTCTGAGCAAAGGTACAAGCCATATGCTTGCTGGAAATTTAAAAAAGAAAAAAAATTAAGTCAGTGAAATAATGAAAATCACTGGTTGAATACAAGGCTGCTGCTGTTTGTTCTGAAACTTTTGCAGATTGAAGGAGAACGCTGTATTCATTGTAACATATTTGGTTTATTCTGGTCATCCTGCTTGTAGATGCAGGAAGATCTTCGCTTTAGAAAATACAGTCTTAAATCTTGAAAATGTTGAAAATCTTGAAAAATACATCTTGAATCTTGAAGCATTGTTGCATAGGCTAATTGTTTTGGTTTTTCTAGATCCTGCAAACACAGCTTAATGTGTGTCACAGAATCATAGAATTGCTCAGGTTGGAAAAGACTTTAAAGATCATCAAGTCCAACCACAACCTAACCCTACCCTAACTAACAACCCTCCACTAAATCATGTCCCTGAGCACCACAACCAAATGGTTTTTAAACACATCCAGGAATGGTGACTCAACTCCCTCCCTGGGAAGCCTATTCCAGTGCTTAACAACCCTTTCTGTAAAGAAGTTTTTTCTGATATCCAACCTAAACCTCTTGTAGTGAATCATATTGTTTTACCGTGGTCTTTAATATATGCTATTTGTTGTTTTTGACATAAGAAAACCACTTATTTAGACTATTTATTTCAAAATTTTGGAGGAACTGAGTACCTTGAATAAATGTTTGTAATGGTGTTGCAGCTGGATGGCTAGCTATTAAGTGAATTATGTCAACTAATTGGAATCAACAATTTTTTTTTCATACATACAAATGCGAAACAAAATTCACATCAAGGATTCCTGCTTTCTAAGTAAAATCATCTTGATTTGGAATTGGTTAATGCCATATAAATAATCACAGAAAATAAATATATATGCACATTTTTCAGATTTGTGCAGAATATTCTGCACAAACAGGCTTAGCACATGTCTTATGTAGACTCTTGTACTTCATCTTTGGGTCATTTGTATGCAATGAGTGCCAAAAGCATTGAGTAATTTCTTTGAAGTGTGTGCTGCTAGATTACTTTCTTTATAAGTTTGAGAAGTTCATGCTATCCAGTTTTTAATGGATTATTTTATGAGACTGTGATGTGTTGCGATTGTCTTGTCTTTTCTTTGATCAAAATGCTGTTTGGTGTTCTTTCAATGTTTTGCTCTCAAAAGAGAAATTTTGAAACATAATTGGAAGGTACACCGCGTGTTTTGTGTGAGGATTTGTCAGGTCTCTCATCATCTTATGACATGTGATAGTTTGACTAGATACTTGAGTAATTATTTGTCTACAGCGAGGTTTTTTATTGCTCGTTTATGTTCTCTATTCTGTTGGCAGTGTTTGGTTTCTTTCAGTGCTTCATATGGAAGGGAAACTTGATTTTGGAGTATTTATATTGAAAAAAATATATAACTACAGTATAATGAAATGATTATGAAATGAAATGAAGTTGGGTATTTTTATCCCCTCCAGCTTCCTCATGTGTTTGTGAACTGTGTGGAATGCTTTACTTCACGACTTCTTCTAGAAGAAATTCTCATCCAGTTGCAAAATGGTTCTTCTGAAACAAAACAAGCTTCTCCTGTGCCTTGTGATACCTTCAATGACTTTGTGCGTCTGTTTAAACAAGCTCTCGTGAGTCAAAATCTTCAAGATCAAACAGTATATGTTGTAAGTATTTCAGTTTTAGTGCTTAGGTTTTGTTTTGCTTATGTGGATCCAGTTGTTGTCAATAACTTGTATGTGCAATGTATGTATTAGAACAGTTTTCACAACATTCTTTTCTGTACCTTGTTCACAATTTGTTGATACCAAATAGATTTTTCAGCTGGTTTACTATCTTCAGGTGAAAGTGTATTTTTCATGTTTTTGGAGTTTTTTATACGCAAAGCTGTTTAATGTAGTAAGTAATTGCCATAAATTATACTGTAGTTAAGTCTCTTATAGTATTATCTATAGAGGAGCTATATTTGTTTCATAGTTCTTAAGTCACACTCAGGTACTTCTTTGTGAAGAAGGTAATTTCACAAATGAAAGGGCAAAAGCAGGAAGCAGGGATGAAGTGCATTATGGTGCACACAGATGACAACAATTGCTGGGTATCATAGGCTTAAGTCAGAAGTCATGCTAAGGAATTAAAATGTACAATTTCCTCTGTAAATGTAAAAATCTTACGTCTTTAGAATGTTGCCCTTGGAGACAAGAATTGAGGTTTTAACACTGAGATGTCAGAAATATCCTGCAGTGAAAGATTTGATGACATTTGTAAGTAAGCATGGAAGAAATATGAGAACTTAGATCACAAGTATGATTGAATGAGTGTAGGACTAGAACACTGGTACTGTGCTAATCTAGCTACATCAAGTAGTAAACATTAACAGCATTGACTGTGTCAGCAGATGAATATTGAAATAAATATGAAGCATGCAAGAGCTCTAAAGAAAGGATGTGTACTCCTCAAAATTTTACTAGTTCTCACTTAGGTGAATAAATTTTTTTAGTATAGTGATGTGTAAGTGTGTACGTGCTTACTTAGTAAACCTACAAAATATGTGGACTGAATTTTCAGCATAGCATTAGGAATTAAATAATTTGTTAAACGAGGTCAAATTTATTATTTAAGAAAACATGAGAGTGACTCAAGATTGGAAGTCTGATCACCTGGGATTATCACTTTGCATGTTTCTCAGACCAGTTGAAGAACACATTGCATTGTTTTCTTGTAGTCAAACAAGAAGTTTAGAATTACACAGAAAATTCTACACTCTGTTTCACAAGTTATGGTTGAGTATTTTTTTAATGGATGTAAAAACATTTTTAATAACTTCATTATATGTTTAGGGGAAGCAATGCTAACTGATGAAACTCATGAAGTTGATAAAATTTACTCTTCAAAAACTGAAAAAAAACAAAACTCCAAACCAATACTTAAAGTACCAAATACCAAAATACCAATACTTAAAGTATATAACAAACTACTTATAGATATTTCAATTTAATATAAAGACAAAAAAAAAAGTGGTATTAACATCTTTCAACAATTCCATGAAAACAGATTTAGCACTAAAGTGATAGAAATTTCACAAAACATATAATAAATCCTTACTTCTTTTCAATTAAATATTAGAATTAAAAAGCCTATTCTGCATCAGTAAAGAATGCATCAAGTGTTATATTAAAATTATTATTGATCTGGAAGTCAGAATTTTCCTGAACAATAGTTACAGAAAGCAAAGCATTAAATAGTTAGAAAGTTTCCATTGTTTCAGATAAATTGTTGCTGAATCAGAAGAATTAAGTATTAAATTAGCATTTCATTTCTGTTCTGCATGGGAACAGACAGGAATGCAGGAAATCAATTCATGTATATTAACCTGTGTCATCTGGGTTTGTGATAGAATGGTTTAAATTGAGGCTGATGGAAGACCTGTATGCTGGTAACATGAATTGGCAAAGCTAACCTATTCTATTTCACTTTGGTACTAAATAATCTAGTGTTCCAGCCAATTAATTCAGAGTGAATTAAGATAAATGTTTACTCTTAAGCAAAGGATTCTAAATGCTTCTGTTAACTCGAGAACAGGTGCTACGTGCTCGTGATAACTTACAAAAAAAAAAAGAATTTATTCTTTATAACTATTTAAAAAAAAGTAGAAGAGATATAACTTCTATTCATTTGTACATCTGCAGTATTTAGCACTATACAGGAGTAAGAATCTCCAGTTTTATTGTTGCTCAACAGTCATTGGTAAAATATACTTTTTGGTTTAAAAAAACATGACAAGTTTGCATTAAAATAAATAATAAAGTACATGTAGGTTTATAGGCCTGTGTTGGCCGTTTCCATGACATACATGACATATTCCACAGCCCAGTGTTGCAGTATATTTTACATGTTGTGAATAAAAACTCTACTTTGTTTCCCATTTAGGGGAAAAGTAAGATCTACTTAAGTCAACAGCTTAAAGCTTTGGATTCAGTATTGCCTGTTACTGGGCCTAATAAAGAGTGTTTTGTTAATAAAAATATTTTCAAGCAATTCTGAGTAAACCTAGTCAGCTCTTCTCATCCCTGAAGTTGGCTATTATATGAACAAAATACAGATGTCAATATAAAATCATGTTGTATTATAGTTTATTTAAAACTATGATAGTCCCAAGAATCTTGAGCTATTATCTCAGAGATAATCCCACTTTTTCTGTTTTATTTTTAAATACCCTTTTCATAACATGTTCTTTGGTTGTCCACATAAAATTATTTTTCTTACTGTGAACAACAGAGCCAGTAGATGTTTTAATATTTTGATGCGGTAAAAGAATAGACTAATGCAATTTTCCAGAGACTGATAGTTTCTCTTTAAACAGCAGTACTTCAGAGCTTACGTTTTTTTTGTGAGTAGTGAATAGAATACAAAATGATTGTTTTTTTTTTTCATTCCTGTTAAGATTCTAAGTATAGTGAAATCAGTTGATTTGGTTTTGTTTTGTTTTTTTCCGAAAGATGTCCACAAATGTTTTTATGCTCCTGCTTTTTCCCTATAGGCTCAAACATCCAGTTGTTTGATGTTCCTTGTATAAGCTATACATACACAACATATCTGTTATTACTACATAAAGTTTGCCTTAAAATACAATTAAATTCTGTAAACTTCTGGCCTACAAACTATGGTAAGAAAAGTTTCTCTCAAAATTCAATTGTATGAACTCCAAATGTTAGCTACTTGAAGATATTAAGTGGTAGCTCTTATTTTGGAGACATAAATTAATAGCGGTAAAAGATGACTCTCCTACAGTAAGTGTGTTAATATAGAGTTGAAGTAATACCCAATTTTTAATAGAAGAATAATTTTGGGGAAAATTGAGATTTCAGTGGTTATAAATATTGCAGATTTCTTGATCTATGTATGTACTTCTTAATTCTTGCTACCCTTAGGTATAAGAATGTAGCTTTCAAGGAACATTTGAACGTTGTGTTGAGGGATATGGTTTAGTGAGAACTATTGGTGATAGGTGGATGGCTGGACTGGATGATTTTACAGGTGTTTTACAACCTTGGTGTTTCTGTGATTCTGTGATTTTCTGGGAATTGTATCTTTTGTTTGGAAGGCAAAGCTGCTTGAGCTTTCTGAAAGCACACCTGAAGCAATAATCTCTCTGATGTTCCCTTCTTAACATGACTTCTACTTAGTTTCCTCTTGTCTGAGAGCAATTGGTGAAATGTTTCTCCAGCAGCTGAGAACAGATTTCAAGTCAGCATGAGAGTTCAGGTTAATATTTTCTGTGTAATGAAATCATTATTTTATTAAAGGTACTGGATCGAGCAGAACAGCTAAGGGAAATGGAAGCGAATGTCCTGCCAGCATTTCTTAGGCTTCAAGAATTGGTGAGTATCTCAAGGAAAAAAATAGCATGTGATTCCTACATTCAGGTTAAACGCACATGAGATATTTGTCTGTCCAGGCTCATCGTGAAAAGTGATTCCTTAGATTAGAAAAGCTGCAGGTTGGTCGGTTTGTCTGTTTGTTGGGTTTCTAAAAAATAAACAACTGGCAGAGGTCAAAACCAGAAAGTAAACCAGAATTTAAACACTTGCAGGTCTATCTTATCCTTCAATATAAACAAACAAAAGTAAGATTTAATAATACCTTCTGACAAGGATGCTGATGCCAGATATGTAGCAGTCTTTTCTTGAATGTTTTTGTTTTTAAGAAGAATGTGATTTTTTTCTGCTTAAACTTCAGTAATAATTTAAAAAAATGGAAAAAAGGAAGACTGTGGTCTATCAGGCATAAGTTCAACACAGTTCCTACATACTGCGTACTTTGTACCAACAATAGATAAGTTAAAAAAAATAAATAAATCCTTCTAGCATTTGTGAATGTTAGCGTGGGGATCCAGAGTCTACATCTGAATCAGGCTGACTCAGAGAGTTCAATCAAATAGAGTAAATTCAGTATCAGAAGCATGAATTTGCAAGTCAAGAAATGTTTGTTTTCCTCAGTTTTCTCCCACGTAAAACTTCAGGCCATTTCTTGATGGCCTTTTCAGAATAGTATGAACCATATGCTTGTGGCTGGACCTGCTCAGCACAACAGCTGAGAATGTGCTTGATGTTGGCAGAAGGTTTTTACATTTCTACTATAATCACACCATAGTATTTTTCTGATTTGAAGTTAAACTCTGTATCTTATCCTCTTTCACTTCTGAATTATATAGGCTTATCCCTTGGAAGAAGTAAAGATGGTGTATTCTCTGGAAATAAATAGAAAACAAAACCAGAAAATGGTGGTATTTTGAAATTGTCTGAAGAGCTAAATAGAGGACTTTTTTTTTTGTATCACAAGAACTTGTATGTGATTGTCAGTAATTTTCTGGTGACACTGATTTCACTGTTTACTGAATGAAGTCTCATTCAGAGTTGTGTTTTTAATCTTGGCAGCTGATTCGTTTTTGTGGCCTTTCACGTCTGTTTTGCCTGTGTTAAAGAGTTTGCTGCCCTGAAGCAGAAACAAACTGACAATAAATGAGGGAAGCGTAGCCCCTACTGTTCAGGAACCAAAAAAGCATATGATTTTTTTTTTAATATGCTAAAGCAGCATCTTCAAGTTCAAAAGTGATCTCCAGATAAATTTGCTAGCATTTCCTAATGCTGATATCCTAGTTTCTGTATTCTGAACTGAGATGATGTTAAACTCATGTGCAGGGAGATGAATGTCATGGGGCAAAGTTGCTTCATCTTTTAAGCTTCATCATTTACTTTCATGCTTAGGAGGCAAGGTTCTTCGTTATCAGTCAGAGATTTTGTGGAACAGGGCATCATTTGGGAAGAATGGAATGCTTGATTTTTTTTTTTGTATGTATTATGATAGAAAGGACTTAGGTTTTTCATATTGGAAGGTCTGTCAGGAACAGAAATGGAAATACCATTGCTTTTTTCTTAGCTAAAATGGTAGGAGATCTGGGAAAGGAAAGAGGTCTGGGGAAGAAAACTGTAGAAAAGTGGGCTCATTAAAAGGAAATAGATGAATTCAAATAGAGAAAGAAGAAACAATAAAGAATGCTGGTGGGTATCATTTTAGCAAGAAGTGGGAATTTCAGACAAGGGGAATAGCAGTTGAACTTCTCAAGTCATTCATAACTCATGTTAAACATCATATGTCAGTAGGGGTTTAGATGGAGCTCTTTATGGCTTTTTTTCTGTAGGCATTGTTTAGGAGTTCAAACTATAAGACTTCAGCGTTCTTAGAATATACTTAGAACTGCATTGAAGCACTGTGATGTGACGGAAGGAAGGAAGGGCAATTTTCAAAAATCTTCTGTTCCTGCTCACCACCTGATCTTTAAAATAAAGTAGTAGCTTGGTTTTAAGAAGATCTGAGCTTTCTTTCACTTCTTAACTCCTCCTATCTGTTCTGAAAGTCTGGGTTTGATTACCAATATAAATTGCTGCCTTAATTCTGCAAACAGTGAATGGATTGAACTTGGTATTGTCTAGTACTGAAGCTCTGAAACCCCAGAAAGCATACATGTCAATGAAACGACAAGAGATGAAGATGAAAATCTTCAAATGTATGACTCTCTTGACTAGACTAGCTGAAGGTTTGTTATGGTAGTGATTTGTATTAAACCGTGAATTTCATTTTTGTTTGCTTATTATTTTGAATAGAAGTGTCATGGTATTTTTTTCATTGGTGTTATAATATGCAATGTTTTTTTCTGTTCATCTGTTACATTTTTTTTTCCCCTCCTTGTAGACTGACAGAAATGTGACAGTTATCTTGCTTAGTGAAATAGTATGGGAAATGTTCCGTCCAAATACTGGATGCTTTGAGCCATTCATCTTGTATTTTCCTGATTACAGCATAGGTAATATAATTCTTGAATTTGCTTTTTGGGGATAGAATAACACTTTGTCAAAAACTGTGCAAATATTGTAAAAATCATTTACCAATATGCCTTTTTATGAATGTGAAAAGCATGTTAGCCACTGGAAGGCAGAAGGCTATCTTCACACAAGCTCTAAAATACTCCTCTTAGCAGAACATCGAAAAACAACATCTTGATTCCATTGTACTTGCTAGTTCTTTCAGTTACACTGTTTTTTTTTGGCAGTGTTTGTTTTTAATGGGAATTATTTTTCCACTTAATTTAAAATGTGTTCAGTTTTTAAAGCTGTTTTTAGATAAGCTAAACTTACTTATGTTTAAATAGGACACCTGCAGAAGATCTTGTCCCAGAATCATCCTCCAGAATATTCTGCAGATTTCTATTCTGCATATATAAATATTCTGCTTGGCGTCTTCTACATGGTCTGTAGGGACCTCAAAGAACTTCAGCATCTGGTGAGGCAAGCTCTTTTAGTGTTGTTGTTGTTCTTATTGTTGTTCTTTGTTTATTTGTATGTTTTCCTGAAAAACTCTGGCAAGTCTAGATTTACTGTTGAATATGAATAAAGAGAAGATGTGTTAGCACAAAATGTAGTTTTCCTAAAGATGCATGACAAAAGTTGTGATGGTTCTGGTGGCTGCAAAGGGTTTCCTGTATTACACAGTGTCCAACCAGTCACAGGAATTCAGTATGTATGTGATTCACCTAGCCTGGAACTTCTCTTGACCTTGCCTCTGCTTAAACAATTCCACAGTATCAGAGTGGCTGAGAGGACTAAACCAAATATTTTCACCTGTTGCGATAGGGAGATGTATCTCATTAGGTTTTTGTGGCTACTGCTAAGTATGGTAAAAGCAGTTGTTGCAAATCCAGCAATTCTTGAAGAACAGCTCTGCTACAGACTTCAGGTATTACAGTGTTTTTTTTAGTAGTGGTTATGATTTTACTCTTTCAAGCTTCCTTACTCTTCAAATTCTTTTTGTATGTAGTAATGTGGATTTGAACTTTGAACACTGCTACTGTGGACTTCTGTTGTCCTTAATAGATTCTGTTGTATTTGTTTCCTGAACAATTCAGAATATTCAGTACAACACGAGACAGTTACTTTCAGTGTGTGAAAGAAAAATTGAAGTGAATGATCTTAGATATCCACTGCATGTCTGGCTGCAAGTTCTATGGTTTCCTATGTTTATTTAGTGTAACGTGTAACTCAGTGTTGTTAATACTTCATCAGTATGGGAAATTTAAATTAAAATTTGAAACAACTTCTTGTATTTTTCAGTAGTGTAAAATTTCCCATTGATTTGCTTCCTACAGAGAATTTTAAGGTACCTAAGCTGTTAAGTAGCAACAGCAAGCTAGAGCTCTGCACAGTTTTGCATAAACATAGCATATTAATTTGAATCAAAGGTCTAGAGGAGTTACAATTGACAGAAATATTTTCACTGTCCTTCTGTTGGAATTAAAAATAGGTAAGTTAAAAGTTCTTGTAATATAATAACATGAGAAAGTGAAAATATGCTGAAGGTATTTGGTAAAAGGAGTTTTAACCAGGTATAAATTGGGGAATGTAATAGCAAACAATAAAAATAAACTAAAAAAACCCATGTACTTAATGGTGAGTTTTGCATAGGTACAGCTGAAAAACAATGGCAATTTTTAGCTCTGTTGTTATTGCTTAAGTGAATATAGTTACTGTATACAAGGAAATTTTTCTTGTAGAGAGAACCCATTGAAATTCCAAAAATTTACTGTGGTCAGTGGTTACAAATAATGAACAGATTTTGCCAATGAGGTGATCTGAATGTTCTGCTTGCGTTTCCAACAGGAAAATATGTCTAAGTTTCATCTGAACTTATCTGTTACGTTTAGAAGCTTTCTATTTAGATGAGATTGTCTCTCCATCAGACTTAGTTCTTGCAGGGCCAGCAGCAGCGCCGCTGGTGTAGTGGTATCATGCAAGATTCCCATTCTTGCGACCCGGGTTCGATTCCCGGGCGGCGCAGGAAGTCTTTTGCAATAGCATGGATTTACCAAGGGGAGGACATGCCTGCTGTGATGAAACAACCTGATGGATGTAGGGGGAGCAGTGAATATTGTCTTCGTGGACATCAGTAAGGTCTGTCCCCCATTGTGTCCCCATAGACAAGGTGTCAATATACGGGCTGGTGAGAGAGATTGAGGTGGATCAAAAACTGACAGAGTGGCTGAGCGCACACAAGGGTAATAAATGGTGCAAAGTCTAGCTGGTGACCTTCTCTTCTCAGTATTGGGTCCAGCCTTGTTGAACATCTTCATGATGCTTGACCTAGGTGGTCTTCTAAGTCCTTTCCAAATTTGTGATTCTATGATTCAGTGATTAATGATCTGAATAGTGGAGCAGAGTTTACCCTCAGCAAGTTGGCAGGTGAATGACAAAACTGAAAAGGCTGGCTGCCATTTCTCTACTTGGCTCTGGTGAGCCCGTGCCTCAAGTGCTGTGTTCAGTTTTGAATCCCTCGTGCAAGAAAGACATGAAGGTCTGGGAGCATGTCCAGAGAAGTACAATGAAACTGTTGATGGTCTGGAGTACAAGTCTTACAAGAAGCAGCTGAGGGATCTGGGATTGTTTAGTCTGGAGAAATACAGGCTTCAGAGGAGACTTATGGCTTTCTACACTGTCTGAACAGAGGTGGTGGCAAGGTGGGGGTTGGCCTCTTCTCCTCATAAAAAGTGATAGGAGTAGAAGGAATGTCCTCAAGTTGCACCCGAGGAGGTTCATGTTGGCTATTAAGAAAAACTTCTCAGAAAGAGTGGTGAAGCACTGGAACAGGCTGCCCAGAGAGCTGAGTCTTCTGTCCCTGGAGATGTTCAAGAATTAGATGTGGTACATTAGATGCAGAAACGTTGGTGGTAGGTAGGCGGTTGGACTACATGATCATGGAGATCTTTTCCAACTGTAGTGATTCTATGATTCTCAGTATCTTATGAACCACTTCACAGTGCTTAGCATAACTTAGAAATATGCATGTTATTATGCGTAATTATTAGTTACATATTCTGGAATGATATTAAATTTATGTGTTGAAGATACTGCCTTGAGTTCCGTATACAAGCAGAGAGATTAAGAAAAATTCAGCAGGACAAGAGAAGAGTCAGTGGTGAAGATGGTCATTTTACAATATTCTGCGTGCTATTTACTTGACCGTTTAAGAAAAGATCGAGATTAGATCCTTATGAAAAGTCCTACATTCTGTTAGGACAGTTTTTATAAATAATTCCTGCTTGTTTGTTTTAAGTACATGTTACTTCTGAACATATTGAACTACATCTAGACTACAGTTTACTTTCCATTACTCATTTTTGAATTGAAAACTTAACATTTTTTTACATTTCCATTTATGATGTTTAGTTGTTTTATTTAAAAAAAAATAAAGATTACAGCCTTTGAATACAGAAAACAGATTTTGCTGCCAACCAAGCTGATTATTTCAGCTTGTATTTAATCTGCAAAAATGTTGTGACACTTCACAATAGAACAGTTAGAAGTAAAACAGTATAATTATTGACTGAAATAATTGTTTTTGATTACAAAACCAATGAATTATGCCATGTTCTCTATTCTGTAGGTAGATGAAATGTATGATACCTTCTTAATATGTTGTACTTTTTACTTTCTTAGGCAGCACTCAATTTTTCTAAATACTGTGAACCAGTGGTCAGAAGAGAAGGTAAGCTTCTGTCCTTGATTTGAGAAGGTATAGGAGAGTGTGCATGTCTTCCTGTTGACTTTCTGGAAGACTATTTTGATCCTCACTTTGTTAATTGTTCTGGTCACAGCAGATTACTTAGGCTAGTTGCACCCAGTAGGTAATGTTTGCAATAGAAGCAGATTAAAGTTTCTGATAGCGTTGTTTTGAGAGGGAAATACTTTGAAAACTGGCTACTCCCCTGTACAACTTTCTCCTCTCTCAAGCAGCTGTACTTTTACAAAGTAGTGACAAAAGTCATTTCTCTATCAAGAGTCTGAAGAAGATAAAAGCAGAGGTTCTGTCAAACTGTCCCAGACTTCATCAGAATAACCACAGAGAAACAGCCTTGCAATGTAGAATGTGTTACGCAAATGCATAATAAGGCAGCATTTAGATTCAGGGTGTTAGACTGATCCTACCCTGTACTTGGCATTGGTGAGGCCTACTGTGTTCAGTTGGGCACCTCAGTGCAGAAAGGACGTTGAGTGCTGGAGCAGTCCAAATAAGGGCAACAAGGCTTGTGAAGGGCTTGGAGAATGTGCTGTACGAGGAGAGACTGAAGGAACTGGGGCTGTTTAGTCTGGGGAAAAGGAGGCTTAGGGGAGACCTTATTGCTCTCTTTCAATACCTGAAAGGTGCTTACAGCGAGAGCGGGGTTGCTCTCTTCTCACTAGTGACAGGTGACAGGACGAGGGGAAGTGGCCTTAAGCTGTGCCAGGGTAAGTTTAGGTTGGATATCGGGAAATGCTTCTTTACAGAAAGGGTGGTTGAGCACTGGAATAGGCTTCCCAGGGAGGTGGTTGAGTCACCATCCCTGGCTGTGTTTAAAAACTGTTTGGATGTGGTGCTCAGGGACATGATTTAGTGGAGGGTTGTTAGAGGTAGTATGGTTAGGTTGTGGTTGGACTCAATTATCTTTAAGGTCTTTTCCAACCTATGATTCTGTGATTGTGTTCTGCCTGTGACTGTTCAGATGCTGTAGATGTGCTTTGTGTTCCATGAGTTGAACATTTAACAGAGTTTATTTTGGCTTGGTGCAGCAAAAGAACGCGACACTCGTAAACTCTGGAAAAATATTGAACCTCATTTGAAGAAGGCAATGCAGACAGTTTACCTCCGGGAAATATCCAGGTAACCTTTATTGGTTTCTTTTTCTGTTTTTGTATATAACAAGCTTTCTTCGTAAATATTTTCTTTGTCTCAGTTAACTTTTGTGAGCAGTGTTTCTTTTTTGCTAGATAGAATCTTTACTTTTTAACCTGCATTTCTTTCTTGACATACAATGTTAAAAATAAGATACCTTAGGAGAGATCTTTTAAATAAATTGATACATGTAGCATATGAAGTAGTAAGTGATAAATACTATGTAGTGAGTGAACTAGCAGAAACGGGTTGTAGTTCGAATTTCTGTGGTGGTCACGCAGGTCAGCGTTGCCACAAGTGGAACTGTCAAGCATGGGATTCAATCACCAGAACATACAGACACAGTTACTGCTGCAGGTTTTGAACATCAGTGTCCTTCAGCTTTGTTTACTCATTAGATTTATGTATTTGCTGTGCTTTCTGACCCTCGTATTTTTAACCAAAGGCAAAACATTGCTTATATACAGTTACTGTTTTTGACAGCATTAAAATTTGCTGTACTGCTCATGCACTGAACTTAGGTTGGTATAGTTTGAGATTCCTTGTTTATTTGACTTGTGAGGCTGCTAGAAAAGGACCCTGATGCTCATTTTTTAATGATAGCTATTGGCTCAGGCTTAATGTCTTCTCTATCCTTCAGTTTTGTGATTCTGATATTATACCCATGTAAGTAGGGATAATTAATTAGTGCTTGATTTCTTTGTACTGATACATAATCATTTCTTCTTCATTGAATGTCACTGTGGCCATAGAGTATTCTGGTAACAGAACTTGGGTAGGCAGTAGAAGTCTTGGCTAAATGGCTTGGAAAAGTGATCCTTCCTTGAAATAGAGAATAGGTTTCCCTCTGTATGAACTAGACTTAGCTGTACAGTGAGTCATTAATTACTTTGTTTGCCTCAAATTCATACTCAATATTGATCTGTGTTACGGTCTACTCACAATCTTAACTTTTTGTATTCTTTAATGGTCCTTCCTAATTAGTATGTAATCTAACATGGTGATGTAAAGTAGCTTATTAATGGTTCCGAAATAACTATTTGTCCCTCTTTACTATTTTATTTGATTATAAATTTGAATTTTGCCATTTTCTATTATGAATTTCAGCTTTTTGCTTAATAGTTCTAGGATTTACTTCTGCATAACTGCAAGCACTTGGGGAATAAAAATAACCGTATTAATTTTTCTGGCCACAGAACTGTAATTACTCCTGGGTTTTCTTCTAATTTTAAGTTAAGGCAATAGAATTTTGTTATATGCTCTTGTGCTGCCTGAACCAAGATGAAAATGAAACTTTTTTCTACCTTTGAGGTAGACAGTGTATGAAATATTGGGTTAATAATTTGGTTGAATGTTCAGTTTGATTTGAGTATTACATCAGGTCTCATTAAGCTATTTTTGTAAGTTTTAATGGCTCATGGCTGATAAACCTAATATGTGATAATAAATTAGACAGGATTTCAGCTGAGGAAAGGATCATGAGGATCTTTAAAAATGCAGTGGTACTTTGGTACTTGAATAAAATGTTATTGTTTGTAGTATACTAAATGATAGTCTAAAATCATGATGTGCTAATAACATTCCTTAGGGGAAGCTTTAAAGTGAGGATTTCACTACTAAGTGAAACAGCTACTTGCAGACATTACTTTTCACTGTCAAAATGTTCTTGATTTTACCAAAGCTTTTCAGAGAAGAATAAAATCAGTTTTCTTCTTTTCACATAGACTTCAAAACTCCAGTGTGAAGTAATTATAGTATTGTTCTTGTTAGGATAAACACTGTTAAGCAAAATAAGAATAATAAAAAATCAAAACTATCAGTTTTTCATTCAATTTCGCTTTGTTTCAAGACTTAAAATGCTGTAGTAATTGAATGGAAAGGAATAGATATTTTATAATTAACTTGTTATATTAACTCAGTTTTACTTTTATACCTTAATGTAAAATTTATCTTCTGTATTATTATTATTGTCTGTATTATTGCAACCTATATTCAATATAGTAGGACTTGATATTTATAATTATTCTTATACTCTGGCCTAGCTAGAGTCATGTAATTAAACTACCTACTTGGTATATGGTTGGTTTTTTTTTCACTAAAAAGGATTTTACATGGGAATAACAAATATTAATTTATGTACTTGCATTTTCTGTCTTTTAGCTCACAGTGGGAGCGATTACAGTGTGAAGAAGAACCTGGGCAGATTAAAGGTGCCAAATACAGTAACTGTGCAGAAGCTTGTAATGTCAAATGTATTCTCTTCTGATTGATCACTGTTACCTGATAAAGTGTGACTGGAATTAATGTGGACAAGGATACCTAAAGTTCAGTTACAGTTCAGGGAAGTTATGTTTTCTTTGAAAAGACTTTCTACAAAGAACTTTTACTATCTTTCCCCCTTTCATATATCCTTGGAGTAATTTCTCCTATGGTGCTATTTGGGGTATAAGCAAATTTCATTACGTCATTATTTCTCCATCTAACAGTGCACGAGGAAAGGGCTCACCCCTCTCCTAACTGTAAACCTATGCATGCCAACTGGCACAATTGTCTGTGGAGTGATGTCAGTATTATACCTGCTGCATTGTACTGGTTTACCACATTCCTAAGCAAAACAAGTGTCCTATGACCATCAAATGCTGTTTACCAACAGCTTAATGTAATATAACAAAATTAAAATGCTTAAAAATATTAAATTTTACTGTAGTTGTAATTAGGGAAGTACTGCATGATGCAACACTAGCATTTCAGTTGTAGAAATAGACACTTCTTTATTAAACTGAATTCTCTGTATGTGATTTTTTTTATTTTGTTGTTCCATGTAATGAATATGCAATAGAAAACTTTCTCATTTGTAAATTAAAGCTAAAACTTGCTGTAATTTTCTGACTACCTGAAAAGAAATTACTAGCTATCTAGGGTGCTTCTTAATCACGCTCTGAGCTCTGATTCTCAACCTTTAAACATCTTTAATTCCTTCATCTTTGTTTGCTGATGTTTGTGAATTAAGCCATTAAGGCAGTAGTGCTTTAAAGAGCGAGAAACAACTGAAGTAAATGAAGAAAGTAGAAGAGGGACCTTTTTTAGTTGTCTCCTTACTTTGACAACTCATGAAGTAAGGTGGTTTGATGGTTCTATGTGAGCTGTGTGAAAGAAACAACTATGGTGACAAGGGTGAGGATATTTAAAAGGAAAAATTATGAAATGCATTAAAGAGAAGGAAAGAAAATACTCAGTAGACTGTACTACTCGTGCTTGTAATACATAAGACTTATATAATGAAGTATATTATGTAGCACACTAGGTCAAATGTATTAAGTTTGAAGTCTTGAGAACATTTTCCTTTTTATAGAAAATAGAAGAGTAGCTAAAAATGGTGAGATGCTGAACTGTTGCTCAGAGATGCAGCACCTTTTCTGGTGGCATGGCAGCTCAGTTCCCTGCTGAGCTGCATCCTCCAGAGTCTGGAATGCCTGTTCATTTGTTCTGTTTGCTGGAATGGTGTCCTTGAATGAAAGTATCCTTGAATTATTTTTAGGGAGATCACACTTCAGTGGTTTTCTGAATTGCTGATTTTTAAATACTGCTTCTCAGAAAAGTCTGTAAGAGTTCAGGATGTGTATTTTGTGTAGCTTCGTGACAGCATTCCTTGCCCTTCCCTGACTATATTCATGGTAACAGTTTTGTCAAAAGAAGCCATACTCATTTGTTTACAGGAGTACAGCTGCAGAGAAGGAAATCATATAGACTACAATATTGAAACAGCAGAATACAAACCACTGTAATTTGAAGTCTGTGGAGATTTATATGTCACTGAAATCTGCTCTCAATTGTTTCTTTTACAGGACTTTCTGCACACGCACACGTGGAACTTCCTTACTACTCCAAATTTCTTCTAATTGCTGCTTACCTTGCCTCCTACAATCCTGTTAGGACAGATAAGAGATTCTTTCTTAAGGTAAAGGGTTGTTTTTTTTTTTTCTTATGCAGGAATCCAGTTTTCAGCAGTAATGATTGTCCCAGTTTAAAACTCTTTGACAGTTGAATTTTCTGTTTATGTGTGAGATATTTATCAACATGTGCATGTGTGCATGAAGATATGGTATTCATTGCAGGTAAGGGTGAGCAACTGAAAAAAAAAAGTAAGAACTTTGTGAATACACGTTTTGGAGTTTACTGCTGTTCCTAGTGAATGATGTGCTATTATGTTAATAGTTAAATGGAATTTCATGTTTTGGTACTGAAGATTTTTCACCTTTCTGTCTAGTCCTTTATAAGGGTGTAGGTATGCTTGTATTGAGAACTGAGTTGACAAATTATCTTTATGGGCATCTTTTGTTCTTTTTGCTTGACCAAACAGTTTCATAGTAAGTGCTTTATTTTCTAAACAAATGTTGTTGGCCAGAATATTTTTCTATTAGTCCTGGAACTCAAACAAGAAAGACTACAAGAATCAAGTTAAGTAAGGCATGTTACCTAATGTGTTACATCTTTCTTGCTCATGCTCACTGAACAACCTTCTCAATTTAATTTCTTCCTCTCTCTCTTTTTTTATCATTTCTGAAGTTGATTTCCACTCTTGCATATGAACCATACTGAACTTTTCCACAGTAAATGCAATGTGAACTTCTAAGGTTTTTGAAGCAGGGACAGTGTAGGCATTTCAGTCAGTGACATTAAATATTTTCCCCAAGAATTGGGTGAAACGGAAGCTTGCTGCAGTAGCAATTAGCAATTGATCAAGTGCTGGGGCAAAATTCAGAAACAGGTGCATCTCAAAGCCCATTGGTAACACTTTTTGGGTATGCCTTCAAGTTGTATGTTCTTGAGTCATACTGACAGTAAAAACAGAACATGGTAGAACATGGTTTTGTCAGGGCTGTAATGAGATTGCAAGTAGATCACAGAAAACTATCTTTTTGAGTGGTTAACTAAGGACTGCCAGAAAACAAAAAGGGTGCAAACAAAAGCATGGGCATTGAGGTGCTAATCTGCACTACTGGTAGATTTGCTAGGCTACATATAGTTGTGATCTGAGGGATTCTGGAATATTAAAAGCCCGATAGAAGAGTGAAGTAATAATGGGCAGTGATGCTGTTAATTACGTGAAGGTTCAAATGCTTTGTGAAATTTAAATGAAAAATAATTTGCTTTTTAAATATTATTTAATTAAAAAAAAAATCTATGTGAATTGATAATTGTCTCAATTTAAACAGTACTAAAAACTAACTGAAAATCAGCTCTGAGGTTCATGTTTTGTTGTACTAACACAGAAATGGAGTATCTGCTCAGTTGCTTTGAAACACCATTGAATAACTGAAATATACCATATGGAGATCACAGCATAACCTTTAAAATGCTTAAAATGTGTGTTGTGATCCATCACTATAAGCCATGTAGGTTTGATCACGTTCCCCTTCAACAGTTCTCTGTTATCAGAGCAGTTCTCTTTTCAAAGGCATGGTAAAAAGATTACTTTGCTGTCAATAAGTATGTATGGTATGTGTTAGCTGAACAAACTGCCTTTTTTTTTTTTTAGTCTGGCAAATTATTTATAGAAAACTCAATACAATATTAAGCTCTTCAAAAGTCAATCAGAAATGCCATGGTTATTGAGGTCTTGACATGGCCAAGTATTGAGCTATATAAATGCTAAATGTGAGATTTTAATCACTAAAATGGACAAAAGATTCCTTTTATTGGAGATGGGTTTTTCAAAATTCATTGAGCATGCTAAGAAGATACAGTTATTAATGCTTCTCAAAGTAATGGAAACACATGTGAAGTGATATTTTGAGGAATAACACTGAAATGTGTTAACGAATATTTTAATGGTACCTCTCCAGTAATTTCGGATCATTTACACATGCCATCCTTCATTTCTTTTTTTTCTCTTAATATGTTTTTTAACCTATTTATTTATAACATCTTTACGCCATTTGTGTCCTTATTTTGCCCTTCATATTACCTTAGGCCTCGCTTCTTTCTTAAGGAAGCTCCTTTTTAAATTGCTTTTATTTGTTTGTTTTCCCTTTGTGTTTTTGTTTGTCCTTTTCCTCTTTCAACTTGAACTGGCTTTATGTTGTGTAGTTTGTCATTTTGCTAACTTGCGGACCGTCTGAATTCTGAAATGGAGGAGATAAAAAATGAAAACTCAGATGGGTGTATTTTTAAAAATCAAGGGGCCATCATTTGAACTTCTCTGGAATGAAAAAGAAATGAAAAATCTTCCTTTTTGTGATATGATTGAGGGTTGGAGGAAGAAGGTAGCAATGAACAATATTAAAAACAAATTTTCACTTGTTCTCACCAGTTCTGGGTTAGATAAGAAAAAATAAATTATGCATTCCGTCAAAAAATATTAGTGTTGTTTTATACCACTTGGAACACAGTGTGGCAAGAGCTAAGGCAAATGTGATTTTAAGACTTCTAATAAGAAGAATTACTTAGCAGCATCAGAGATGTATATACTGGAGGCTTAATAAAAAAGCATACTGCCAGACATGGTGCATGATTCTTTCTGATTCATTTAATTTTGTCACTGCAGTAAGAAGAGCAGAAAATAATTTGCATATTGTATTTGCTCTTGTCCATTGTTTTACAGCATCATGGGAAAATTAAGAAGACCAACTTCATGAAGAAACATGAAAAGGTATCTATTTTATCTTTCAAAGCTGAGCTTGGAAACAAAGATTTTCTTACTACTGCACTACTGATTTCATACTTTCATACTTTGTCTTATCCTGTATTCTTTACTGTAGAAGCAGGCATTACTTGAAATAACTTACTGGTGCATTTATTTTACGTTATATACATTTCTGTCTGATGCATATGTTTTTATTTCATCAGAATTTACTCTATCATAAATTTGCTCTCCATATCTTTTTTTATAGCTAAATGTGCTCAATAAAGCTATTTAAAGGTCATCATAGATTGGCTTGGGTTGGAAGAACCTTTAAAACCATCTAGTTCCAACCTCTGTGCTGTGAGCAGAGTTGTCACCCACCAGCTCAGACTGCCCAGGGCCTCACCCAGTCTGGCTTTGAATACACCCTCTGAGCAAAAACGTACATCTCCCTTCTTTTAGTTTATAGCCTTCACTATCAGACCGTGCAAAAAATGCGTCTCCTTCTGCTCATAAGCTCCCCTCAAGTACTGGAAGGCTTCAGTGAGGTCTCACTGAGCCTTCTCCAAGCTAAACAAGCCCAGCTCGCTCAGCTTTTCTTTGTAGGAAGATGCTCCAGCCCAGTGAGCAACTTTGTAGCCCTCTTCTGGATCTGTCCAACAGCTCCACATCCTTGTGCTGGAGGTCCTAGGCCTCGATGCTGTGCTCCAGAAGTGTCCTCAAGAGGGCAGAACAGAGGGGAAAGTTCCCTCCCTGCTGGCCACCCCTCTTTTGGTGCAGCCCAGGGTAGTTGACCTTCCAGGCTGCAGAGATGTACTGCTGGCTCACGTCCAGTTTTTTGTCCACCAGCATCCCTGAGTCCTTCTCCGCAGGACTTGTCTCAATGAGTTCTTCTCTAAGTCTGTACACATCCTTGGGATTGCACAGACCCAGGTACCATGCACCTGGCTTTGTTGAACTTCATTAGGTGCTTGTGTGCCCACTTTTCAAGCTTTTCCAGGTCCGTCTGGATGGCATCCCTTCCTTTTATTGTATCAGCTGCACCACTCAGCTTGGTGTCATCAGCAAACTTGCTGAGGGTGCGCTCAATCCCACTGTATATCATGAATGAATAAAGATAGCATGTCTAGAAGAGCCAGGTTTCACAATTTCTGTTGAGCGCATTAAAGTAACAAATGATTTTGAAAATCAAATCACTTCAATTCCTAGTTATGGTTAAGATATAAGGACTTCAAATTTGTGTGTTGAGGTTTGAGAACTTCGCACTTCTGTCTGTTGTTTACATAGAAAGAATCAATTAACCAAAAAAAGGTAATTATTCCATCAGACTATTAACTTGTCATAGTTATAAATATCTAAACATAACTGATTTTGGTGAAGCTGCACCAGTTTTTACTGACAGATGCTTGATGTTCTTGAAAAGCAAGTACCTGTATGTTTATTTGTAGATGTAATGTAAAAGGAAAAATCAAATTAACATTTGTAAACTGTTGAGTTGTTTTTAGATGAATCATAGAATCAGGAGCAGTGCAGATAGTACTAAATCCATGCAGAAATCGTCATATGCCCTTCCTTCTCTGTGCCACAGTCAGTGTGGGTGAAAAATTTAATTTGATAATTTCTTAGCTTAAATAACCCTTCCTTCTGAACTTGCCCTCATTTTTCTTTTGGCCCTGCAGGAGATTGGAGTCCTTGGGTCCTATTTCTGTAGTGGTGCTGATTATAGTTGTGAAAATTTGGTTTTTAATTTTACTTTAACTATTGCACCTTTAAGTAGACAATTAAGTATATGTAGGAATTCTTAAGTCTTTGAATTTGTGTCCTGTACACATAAATATCATGTACCTCTTCTCTCTGGCATGTGAACTCCAGAGATATTTTGGATCATGTGATTATTTTAAGGACTATTATCTTCTTGAAATACATCCACATCTTAATTAGTTGATAAATCATTTTCAGAAGAAAGAGAGAGGAGAAATAATTGCTGTACCTTAGACCAGAATGTTCTTCCTGCAGCCTCTGCAGGAGCGGTGTTTTGTTTTATTCTCTCAGCAATAGGATTTTCAGCCTTAGTGATGAGATGGAGAACAACTAGGGAGATGAGAACAGCTAGGAATGTGAAAGAAAGGGGAAAATAAGAGATTGGATGGTGGAATATAGAGGTCACAGTCACCTTAACTGTGCTGTAGAGCTTGTACTTCAGTGTAATTGTTAAATGCACTTATCTGAATTTACTTCTTAGTGCTCAGAAGTACTTCCGTTAATGATGAATTTCTTTCATTTTGTTACTGTTCCTGCAGCATCAGACCATGCAGGCACAGTCTCTGCCCTGTAGTCTATTTACATTTTCCTGGAAATGAAATACTATCAAGTAGGTGCAAAAACAGAACAGGAAGAGGTACTGAGGAAAGAAGAGTAAATGAGGGTAACTGACAAGATCCATATAGTTATGTAAGCAAAATTAATGGCCCAAAAGTTTTAAGATTTCAGGGTTGTTTTTTTTTTTCTTTTTAATCTTTCTTACATTAGTTCTAGTTTTGTTGGTTTTCCATTTAGCCTACTGCTGAAGCTTTGGGCTGTTGTTCAGGAAGTGTGATTAGATGTGTGCATTTAAATGAGCTTGCTTTGTTGCCCACCTGTAAGTTTCATTATCAGGACAACACGAATTTGCAAAAGACTCATCTTATACCTTTGTTGTATTATAAATTAATATTACTTTGAAGAGAATTAAAACTTTGTAATCCTGTACATCAAAAATACCGACCAGAAGATATCTGCTATGTTACATTAAACTGATTGCATGCAAGAAACTGAAATATGTCTTGGGGAATCATCAGTACGACAGAACTTTGTAGCATTTCAGGAGAGTCTTTCCTTCTATAAGAGCTCTGGTTTTCTTTGTAGTCGACAGGTAAAAAAAAGGCCCTTTCATTCCTAACAGTTGATGCCAGAAATTCTAACTGCTTGTAGGCCAGAGTCTGGTTTTGAAAATTTTTCAGGCACTGTACCTGCAATAGTAGAGAAAAGGACTGCAGGTCCCACAGGATCTTCTAGACCAGCATTTCTTTTACTGCCCTCTGACTTTTATAAATATTGCACAGAGATGCAATGACCTAGATGTAACCTTGTGTATTTGATTTTACAGTGAAGGAAATGGAAATACAGGAATAAAGGATTACATATGCAGTGTTACAAGTAGGGGCTCGCTTGCTTGTGTTTTTCACACCACTTGTATGTACTTATGTACCTTTGCTTAGAAAGACTTGTCTAACATCATATTTAGAGTTCACATTCGCTTAAATCCAGGGGGATGCTGCATCTAAACTAGTGTCCTATAGACAGTGCAGAGCCAGTTGATGTGGGCATTGGAGTACAGTGCAAGATTCATCTCTTGCTAAAGTAGGTTCTGTATTGAATTGGATGAATTGCACCATAAACTATATTGATTAGATTTCTACTGGCTATAATGGGAGCTTAGGAAACTAGTTTGGCTGTACATATCTACTTGGCAGGATGCTAACATTAGGTGAAATAAATCCTGCCTTTAAATGTTTAGGTACAGCCAGGCTTGAAATCTGAAGGCATTGCTTTCTAATTAGAAAAAGTAAATCTTTTGAATTTCCTATGAAGGGAAAAAATTGCCTGTATTTACCTTGTTGCAGATAAGAGCAGAATTTGTTGGGTTTCTTTGCATGGTTGATCTGGAACAATGTTTTTTCCAGTTAAGTGAGATTTTTCCTGGTGAAGCTGCTTTTGCAGGAGTATGCTTTTACAAGTGATCAGATGTGTTGGTGGTTGTTTTATTTTGTTGGAGGATACCTTGACTTTAACCTAGAATTTATAATTATTTTTTTTTAAATTTCTAGCATACACCCCATGATACTTCAGTTGTGTAACAGTGAGGGAAATTTGAAAATACTTTCTGCTCAGAACAGTGAGAAGTGTAGTTCTGTTTTTTAGCATATGATAATAAAGGTTGAAAGTTCAGCCAATTGAGGTTAAGAATTTTCATCTTATTGTACAGGTGATTTAGTTTGGGTTAAGTTTTTACTATGTAAGAATGCTTCTAATCCTCATTCTCATTCCTGAAATTTTGGCATGTGAATATGGGATTTAGAGTTGTGAAGTTCTGAAAGGCTTAGGTCATTTAAACGCTGGGAATATGAAACTGCACAATCACACACAGTGACAACTGGGGAAGGGAATCATAGAATCACAGAATGGCCTGGGTTGAAAAGGACCACAATGATCATCTCATTTCAACCCCCCTGCTATGTGCAGAATCACCAGCCACCAGGCCAGGCTGCCCAGAGCCACATCCAGCCTGGGTTTTTTTTAATCCCTTAGCAAAGGCATGTAGATTTGATAGCTTTAAAAATTCATGAATAATTTTTTTGAATGTGGAAGATATCTTTCTTTGTGAAACGATATGAGGGTTCCCTTGGGTTTTTGCAAGTACTATTTTATGCAGTATTTTGCCTCAGTTCATTCCAGAAGATCTTCATAAATCTTATTCTTCACTATCTTCTGTTTGGAAGAATTTCTGAACTGTTCCTACTCTTACAGGAATTTATTTCTGCCAAAGAATTCCAGTAAAGTGTGAGTTCCAGAAGGAGCATTTCATTTTATTTAACTCTCCTGGCTTTTCCAGAAGAAAGCATTTCTCAAATTTGAAAATTCAAATCTGTTAAAGGCAGAGAAATGATAATGTGAAGGAAACAGACTTGTGAAATAACTGTATGTTAAATGCAACTTCGGGGATTACTGTATGCTGATTGTGCTTGCTAGCTGCTTGGGGTGTACACATTTTAAGAGTTATTGTGTGTTTGTTGACTACTTCTGGTTAATACTGGAGAATATGTTTCATAGAACTGCTGTTGAGAAGCAGAAGGTTGAGATGGTGTGCGGTTCATACCTTCCATCTTATCTGCATTCTGAGGGTGCTGTGCTAGAGTGAATTGGGCTTATCTGCATAGATGGTTTTAGTACAGTTTTGGTGACATATTTCTGATATTACTACTTTCTTTGTTAGCAAAGAGATAGCTTTAGGGACACCTCCTGGATTTTTGAAGCTAAAACATGTACTGGAAGTGTTCTTTTGTTCTTCTGAAGAAATGAGTTTTCTAAAAGCTAATACCACAGAGGTGCTATTGGTATATTCTGGAAGCATTTTTAAACAAACTATCTTTGAAATTCCTCTTTAATCTTGGCTGCTTTGCTAGCAAAAATAGATCATCGTATGCTACGAAAAAGGAAGCTGAATGTCGAAGTAGACAGAACGAAATACACACTTAAGGAAAACACTTGTTTCCTTTCATCAGAACTTTTGACAATCTGGGTCGTGAATACATCTCTGTATTCCTGATAGTATTGCATGTGTGGAGGAGAATTTCGTATTATCCAGTTCTGTGCTCTGTAAACTGTATTTCTCCTTTTTGTAAAATGGCTTACTTAAAAAATAGTTGAGAAAAGGTTCATGCTGCAAATCGGGAACTTATTTCTGTGTTTTAGTTTGAATTCGTTGCAGTCTGCAATGCCTAAAATGTCTATCACTTTGTCTGGTAGCAGCTCTTAGGAGAAAATATGATGGGTTTGGAATCAGCCAGCTGAACTCCTTAATTTAGGCAGCTGAAGTCATGGGAAGTGGATCCCTGCTTAGCATTCTTTGGGCCACATCTGGAACTGTGTGTCCAGTTCTGCCCCATCTCCAGTACAGGACATATCAGTGAGTTGGCCAAGTTCATCCCCACGGTAGTCAAGGGCTGGAGCACTTGCTCTGTGAGGGGAGGTTGAGGGAAGGCCTGTCTGTACCTGAGTGAGAAATGCTGGGCATAAGTTGAAACAAGATGTTTGTACCAGGTGTAAGGGAAAGACTTTTCCCTGTAGTGACAGTCAAGAAGTGTCACTGGCTTCCTGGAGAGGCAGAGTGCACTCTGTATCCTTTGAGGTTTACAAGACTGTGCTGATGTAGTCCTGATTAACCTGTCTGGTCTCACAGCTGACCCTGCTTTGTGCAGTGGGGATTTGAATTGAGACCTCCTGAAGCCCCATCTATCTGCACATAAGATCCCCACAAACCTTTTCCTCTCAAGGTTAAGCAGTTCAGCTCTCAGCATCCTCATATGACAGGTGCTTTGCGGTCTATTCAGTTTGCACATAAATTTAAATGTCATTCAGTACAGTAGTCAGCAAAGCTCTTGAGTAGCTAGAGGGAATCTAGTCAGAGTGCATAGAGTGATTTACCAACCATTACCTGGGTATCTGCAGGAGGGTCCCTCTGACTCCATCAAGTGGATCTCTGGTGAGTGCGGTGGTGCAGACTATTAAATTTAGGTCTTCAAATCAGGAAGGTGAATCCTGTTCTTATAGTTTTCCACTTTGCTATGTAAAGAGTAAAGCAGTTTAGAAACATAGAAGAATAGATGAAAATGAAAGTGGCTTAGTATGTGAATTTTGTAGCTGTGATGAGCTTTTATCCTCGTGGATATATCCAATGATATTTGGTTGTTGGTAGTGAAGAACTCATCAGAGCTATTTTGTGTGTTCTTGTAACAATTATGTGAAAATCAGTGGGTCTGCAAGTTGGTTCTGCTTTATATTTCTACATGGCTTGTTGTTGTTCTTTGCCTGAAGTTTGGTAGATTCTGAGTTCAAAAAGTCAGTTCTCTGAGGCTAGCAGCAGTGAAGCTTTAGACATACATATATGACTTCGCTCTTATATATATATAAGAGCGAATGAATCTTGTTGAATTGTGGGAGTGAGGGGGCTGGATTGAATAACCTCCAGGCACCTCCAGAAGTGCCTTCCAGCCTCAACTATCTTGTGATTCAGTAGTCTAATATAGATGAAGTGAAATTCAATAATCTATTTATGCTGTGTTTTTGTAGCACTGCTGCCTTGTCTGTTGGTATAGATTAAAAGAAGTACCACATGAGAAGCAGAGAAAAAAGGGAAAACTAAGTTTTACATCTTCTGTGCTGTTTTTTTTCTTTCACATGGACTTTGAATGACTTGAATAAGTTACAGTCTAGTAAAACAGGTCTACAGGAATATGTAGTGGATCCCCTGTGCATTTTCTTGGTCACTAACTCTTTTCAAAGCAGACTTTAAAATGAGTAAATATTTGTGCTGAACTCTACCTTCTGGCAGCAGAATGTCCCTGCCTGTTCCTTTAGTTATCAATAACCATTAAAGAATCTTTTGCTCTAGCTGTATTTTTTTTTTATGTGAAGTTATTATACTGTCAGCTTTAACTCTATTGTGTTCACAGAAATACGATTTCTTTACATCACTTCATCTACTTGTCGTCAGCATCGTTGGTTGACACCAATTTTGAATCCATGAAATTTAAATCTGGAAACATTATTGATTTTTAGAGATGTTCATAATTTTAGAAAACCTTAAATAGCCAGAAGACTTCAGCTATTTAGGATTTTCTAAAATTATGAACTTATCATTGAATCAGTTGTTTTAGGGCAGAATGTTACCTGTTGTTTCAATATAGTATTCACAGGAGCCAATGTATTTCCTGGTCTTACAGCAAGTTTTTACTCCACTGAAGGCTTTACATGAAACATAGAGCAAGCAATTACAATGCCCTTGTGCCCACCCATCAGTTTTCTTCACTGGAAGTAACTAAAGTAAAAGCTATGACTCAAACCCATGAAAATGTGATTAGACTTAATAGTGGAAAATCAGGTGATCTCTGTTAAACCATACAAGGTCTACTCTGCTGATGTACTGTAGTCATGTAGAAGACCGTAAGACTGCCTATCAGAGTGGTTTCATATGGCATTTAATATGAAGAATTCTTGTTCTGAAACATCTGATGATTTTTTTTCTGTAGTCATTTAATTGATACTTTTCAGGCTGTTTTGAACAAAAACATGATTAGAAGTAAAGCTATTGTGTGTGATGTAAAACTAATGTGATGTGGCCTATTTGTTTTTTATAGTGTTAGGATTTCTGATTTGCAGCTGGCTTTCATAAGAAGCTAATACAGCTGCCACCGCAGCAGAGAAGTAGTGTTAGGTCTAAGAGAGGAAAAGATTAGCTAAAATGAGTCAAAGCAGATATGGTGATACTTTAGCAGAATCTTCTCTTTTTAAACATTTTCAAAATGAAACTATCTAGTAAAACATCTGTTTTCTGTAGGGAAAATGCCCCAAAAACATACTTAAAAAACATTTCCTGCAGATTTTTAAAAACTACTGTTATGTGCAGTACTTTTCAGGTAATTGTGGATTACAGACTGTAGACAATAGAATAAATCTGTATATTTTCATTTTTCACTGGCTAAAAATTGTTGGCTTTTAAGAAGTCTAATGTGTCCTCCCATTGATAAACTGAAGAAAGCTATTTGTACCATGTCATAAAATCTGGTCTTTCCTCTTTAATCTATAGATCGGACAAGGTAATTTAACAGGACAAGTAAGTCTATAAATCCAATGACAGAAAATTTGGCATCAGATCCTCTGTTATAGCTCAAAGTGTTCCCATTTATTTTGCAGTTTGAACTCTTGCCATGTTAACTAGAGCTCTCTGTCTGTATTTTTTTATTGATTGGAAAGCATGTATTCAGTGTTTTCCATAATATATGTGGAGCCATATATATATAAGACTACTGTGAGTGATTATTCCTCCCTAGAGACTGAAAATTACAAGAATAGCATCTTGTGATATTCTTGGAAAAGTCTCCTGGATTAAAAACTCCTGTTTGTTTTGCAGACCAGCAATCACCTCCTTGGACCAAAGCCATTTCCTCTGGACAGATTATTAGCAATATTATATAGCATTGTGGACAACAGAGTTGCTCCAACTGCAAATATATTTTCCCAGGTGAGTACATATGTACTGCTTTTATTTCATGTATATTGTCTGTGGAATTTTTGGAAAAGTTTCACGCTGGTATGTGTGTGTGGGTTTTTTTGTTGGTTCTTTAAGTCACCATCTTAATGGAATATAATGGAGAAATAAGCATATTATTAATTTAAGTTGAAGTCTCGTGGTAGTATTTATCTGTATTAGTAGCTATGAATACAAGCTTTTATCTGTGTAATGATCTCAAACTTCGTAATAGCTACAATTTTTCTTGATCATGGAATGTTAACTGTGTTGGTTTGCTTGTTGGATTCTCACTGAAGTCTGTTAGCCTTCTTGCATTTCAATTTAAGTGTATAAATGTTCTCTATCCTACGGACAGAATTAGTCACTGATAATATGTTACAGAAGTTGTAGTAGTCAAGAAAGAGGAGGGGGAGGAGTAAGGTCTTTAAAGGTGAAAACTACCTGCTGTGGTGTATGTATGTCATAAGGATGATATTTTTCATTTGGACCAACTTTGTTTTTCAGAGGAGAGTCTGTTTCCCATTTCACTAGATGGCAGCATAACTATAGCGTTTAATTGAAAAGCAGTAAATGTAGGATTCTCTCTATTCTCTCTAAAGCTATTATCAGTTGTAAATATCTATTCTCTAATGTCAGCTTGATTCTTAGAGCTTTCATGTACACCTTAGATGATCTCCCTTTCCGCTGCTTTCTTGCTTTCCAGCTGACTTTTACTTAGAAATATTTTCTACATCTACTGTTGTCCCCATGACCGAGGCGCGTTCTGCTGGGGGCTAGCGATCTACCCTCGCTAGGGCCATTGCAGCACAGACACCAATATGAGGATGCAGCAGATGGCCTTTATTATAGCGTGACATCTCCTTAAGTACACCTCTGGCTTCGTCTACGCCCCCTTAAGCATACGTCGTATGTCCATCACACAGCAGGGGAGGTCCAACCCGTCACATCCCGAGTCCTCGTTAGCGCCTACTACAACAAACTACTTGATAAGTCTCAAATCAGGGATTACTTAAATGATGTTTGTTTTCATGCAGAGTTCTAGGAAATAAGGTTGAGATGCGCAACCAGTTCTGCTGCAGTTTTCATCATCACTTTTCAGTGTTCACACATGTTTAAGTTGGCGAAGTTCATCTCTCATATTTGCAGAACAATCCGCCACAAATAATACACATTTTAAAAGTAAGAATCACATAATGGCCAGGGTTGGAAGGGACTTCAAGGATCATGGATCTCCAGCCCACCTGCCACATGCAGGGCCACCAACCTCCACGTTCAATACTAGACCAGGCTGCCCAGGGCTCCATCCAACCTGGCCTTGAACCTCCATGGATGGGGCATCCACAACCTCTCTGGGCAGCCTGTTCCTGCACCACACCACTCTCTCTGTAAAGAATTTCCTCCTGACATCCAACCTAAATCTTCCCTCTCTCAACTTAAAACCATTTCCCCTCATCCTGCTGTTATCTACCCTTTCCAAGAGCTGACTCCCCTCCTGTTTATAGGCTCCTTTTAGGTACTGAAAGGCTGCAATGAGGTCACCGTGCAGTCTTCTTTTCTTCAGGCTGAACAAGCCCAGCTCCCTCAGTCTGTCCTCATAGGGGAGGTGTTCCAGTCCCCTGAAAGAAATGCAAGACCAAGTGAATTATAGTGCTTTATTTAATCACTGATATGTGTATTTGCTAGTAATGATAGGGTGCTTTACAGATGCAGTAGGCAGTTACATCTTCATGCAACATTTTCTCTCGAACTTAGTTGAAGGTTGTTGGTTAAAAGTTAAAGGTTACCGTAGGATCTGAGGCAAGTGATCTTATTAGACATCAACCTCAAAAGATCTGTTAGTAGAAACATTTCTGTACTTAGATCAGTCAATTTCAGCTTGTAGTATGCACCTCCCAGGAGAGGTCAATGCTTTACCTCCCAGAGGCATTCAGAAGGAAGCTTAAAAAAAAAAAAAGATGCAAACAATTTATAGAATAATAGAATCCTTAGAAGGGACCTCTGAAGGCCGTCTAGTCCACCTCCCCTGCAATGAACAGGGGCACCACATCTAGATCATGTTGCCCAGGGCCTTACTCAACTTTGCCTTGAAAGTCTCCTGGGATGGGGCATCAACCACAACACTACGCAACCTGTTCCAGTGTCTCACCACTCTCACTGTAAAAGATTTTATCCATATATCTAACCTAAACCTACCTTCCTTGAGCTTGAAGCCATTTCTCCTTGTTTTATCACCACAGATCCTGGTAAAGAGTCTTTTCCCTTGTTTCCTGTAGTTGCCCTATAGATACTGAAAGGCCACTCTTGGGTCACCTCGAAGCCTTCTCCAGGCTGAACAGCCCCAGCTCTCTCAGCCTATCCTCATAGGAAAGCTGTTCCATCTCTGGGATCATTTTTGTGGCCCTCTTCTGGACATGCTCCAATAGGTCCATGTCTCTCCTGTACTGAGGACTCCACATATGGAAGCAGTACTCCAGATGTGGAGTGGCTTTTCAGACCTGTTTGTGTCACCTCAAGAATTCACCGTGCTCTCAAGAAGAATTCCGAACTGTGTGAGTTTTTGAAGCTACATAGTTTCCTATAAGCAATATTGTATGAAGGAGCATCACAGGTTGTTGCAGCATGCTTGTCCAGCTTTTGGCCGACTTCAGCTTTATAGCTACTTAGAGTTTCTTTGGAACAGAAAGAATTCAGTGATACTAATGTGAATAAAAATGTCTAATTTTGGATAACAGTATCTATTCACTTTTTTTTCTTCTGGCTGAAATATCAGAGGTAACTTGAGATAAATTGCTTTTCTATAAATGTGTGGATTCTTTAATTCACTGTACTGTGAAGTTTCTTGGTCAGTATAAAGCATTGCATAGGGAAAGGGTTGTGACTTTTATACCTCAACTGTCTTGGTTTGCTGCATTCAGTGCAATATATCTATTGATTTAAGACACAGCATTGAAGGTGAAACTTAATACAAAGTCACAAAGACATTATCTCAGTTAATGATGTTGATCAACAAGGATAGAACTAGGGTTAGTTAGGTAGGAAATGAATAGGTGTCTTATAAGGCTATTATGGAGTTGAATAAGATACAATACAATCCAAGTAATGTTTGGATTGGTTTCACTTGTGTTCTCTCTGCTGTTGATTGGCCATATAGGTGGTACTTTTGTTAAATATTTGAAGCCAGGCATCAGTGATTTAAACAGTTGTTTCATTTTAAGGTATGAAATAAGTCAACACTAGATGGCAGTGTTGTCAAAGAATTGTCATAGTAATATTTTCTTAAAATATGCAGATTAAACTGTTAAACTGTAGAAGGGTTCTGCTGAATTGTAACTAGGTTAGGGCAAACAGGTTGAAATTAAATGTTGATACCAAAATAAAGTATTGTAATTTTTTTGTCTCTAGGAACAGATTTTGTATTAAATTTTAGACTAAAATGCATTTCTACTGTAGAATAACAGAGCAGAATTTTAAAAGATTTTGAAGTGGTTGAATTGTACTTCCACTCGAATAGCTTAAAATGCTTCATGTTCCACTGATTTTTTTTTTTTACTTTTCTAAACTAGTTTCCAAATAGTTTTCCAAGTAATTATTTAGGAGCTCAATTACCTTACAGAATCCATATTTTTTGCTGTTAGATTGCCACAAGTTTTTTTCTTCTTGCTTGTGTATAATTAGGGAAATAGTTATTATACAGAAGTTTTAAAAAGCTGGAAATCAAACATCAGTCTTTTTAACTGATTCAGCTTTAATTTTCTGCTCTTTCATTTGAAGACCAAAAGGCTGTACATGAACCAAATGTTTGCGAATTCTCCCCATGTGCTATCAGAAAATAGCATGCCTTGACTTTAAAGTTGATCAACAATCTCAGTCATGATTCAAGGACTGGCAGCTGCTTTAAGATCTGCCATGCTGCTGATTTCTTGATGTTTCTTATTCCTTCTTGTTTCTCCACGTAATTTCTATTCATACCAAAATTGTGGTTATTAGCTTTTCCAAATGAAGCTTTCCTTGAGCAGAAAAAATTTCAGTGTTCTGCTCAATGTTTGGGTTTATTAAAAATGTTTCATTTTTACAAAACAGAATTTCAACTTAAAATTTCAATCTTAATACAACTTTTGCTTTTTAATGTTAGTAACATGAGTAATTAATTAGTCACTTAACAATCTCATACTTTTTCAAACAGAAAGTTAATGTGTGTCTTTTAGCTGTGTGATCTTTACAGTTGATTCTTACTGGAATTGGGTTATATGCATTGGGTTATGAAATTTGATTTGCTCCCCCTGCCCTCACTAATTAGCAGAGCAAACAGCAGCAGGGAAAACAAAAAGATACAAATTTACACTTCTGCAAATTAAAATTGTTTTCACTTCCACTTAAAGGTTGAGCATTCTACTGGTTTTTCTTTCTTTCTTTTTTTTCCGTGCTATTTTTAAATAATATTTTCACACATCTGGTGAGGAATTGTTTGAGAGGAAGCGAAGGTGAGGTTTTTAGACTACTGATATTGGAACATTTGTGAATATAGGTCTTCTTTTCCAGAATATCCTTTTTGTTGTTGTTGTTTTAGCAGTTCTAATTTATCATGATGCTGCTTTTCAACACATTTTCTGTTGCTGTTACGTATTACCAATTTGGTTGTATTTGCTTGTTTTCTAATCAAGAGATAAGGGAAGTTAAATCAGTGATTTCTGTGACCATTTCAGAGGACACAATCTCCAACTGCTTTTCTTCAGATGCACTTTTGGGTAATAATTTAACAGATGAAAGATGATACTACAAACATCACTTGTGCCTCAGTCGGAGCTTGCACAGTTGATGTTCTAATTGGCTGTATGGCTAGGTCGAGCATGTTTTAGTGGGGAAAAAATGAAAAATGTTCAGCCAGTGCAGTGATGCAGTATGCAGTCTGCATCCTACAATAGCAGCAGAGTCACATATCTGGGTAAGCTGGTTGATGTTTCCTAGCAGCTCGCCTCTGCAGCCCTAGGGAA